ACTTTATATCATGACGTTGGGAGTTTTAGCACCTTATCGTAACCTTGGAATAGGCACAAAATTATTAGAACATATCTTGCAACATGCCACATTACCTACACAACAACCAAAATTTGTTGAAATTTATCTTCATGTGCAAACATCAAATGAGGAAGCTTTAAATTTTTATAAGAAATATGACTTTGAAATTGTTGCGACAGTGGAAGGATATTACAAGAAAATATCACCTTCTGACGCGTATGTTTTGAGCAGAAAACTGTAGTTGTAAATTCACACGTTTTTAATATTAAAATTTCTAAAGTGTTTTTTCGAAACTATATTACAAAGAAATTTATCTTCCCATCTTCAACTTAAAAATAAAAATACAAATTATAAAAACAAAATTAAAATAAAATAAAATTATAACAAAATTATTATTGTTTATCACCTATTTTGAGAAATTTGAATTTAGCGAATTTTTTCTTCTTCTCGATCTCACCGGTAAATTCAGTTGTGTCATCACCACTTGATTCCTTATCATAATCGTTATTGCGCATATCTCTCATGATTTGATCATAAACACCTTTTAGCACGGCCATTTTCAATATGACATCATCCCTTGGAGGACTTGGAGTAGGAGATGGTGTGTGAATGGTGACATCTAGTTGAGAATTATTCGATTCATTCGAAGGACTTTGTAAAAATTCCGAAGATCCATCGTTATCGATATCCCGTATTCTTTTAAGTATGGAATCATGCATCCTCCATAAAAGATTCCTTTCAACGTGTTGTGGAATCTTATGTCGATAAGAACTAATCTTTAGATTTTGATTCCTATCGTTATCATCTTGTGTTACGCTAAATCCGTTTGACGGCCATTGTCCAACATAAAATACATTTAAACCAGTTAATTTTCCTAACGTGATCGGTAAATGTTCTATGGAATTCCCCCTCAGCTTTAATTCGCGTAAACATTCACAATCACCAATTGATAATGGCAAATCCACCAAGATATTCTCTGAAAAATCCATGATCTCAAGTTTTTTGAGACGTCCAATAGTTTTTGGAAGATGAGTTAATTTATTATTAACGACGTATAATTCACGCAACATATCCAATTGGTCAATCTGTTCAGTTAAATCGGTGATACGATTATTTGAGATATTAAAGCTTATCACATGATCCATTCCTTGAAGGTTGGGCATGGTGTCAAAGTGATTATATGATAAATTAACATAAGTGAGATGATTATAAGCGACTCCCATTTCAAATGGAATTTGACTTAAACTACAATGTTGCAAATGAACTTTTCTTACAAGAGCGAGTTTTTGAAATGAATTAGGAATTGCCAATAATGAAGGATTATTATTGAGTTTAATTTCTGTAAGTTTTGTTAACTTTCCTAAATCTTCAGGTAAAAAAACCAATTCATTATGTGATAGATCCAACTCGGTTAAAGATGTTAACTTTCCAATGTCTGCTGGTAAATTAATTATTCGATTTTCACGTAAATTTAATGTTAATAATCTCGAAAGTTGTCCAAATTTTGCTGGTATCGATTCAAGGGAATTGTTATGAGCGTTCAAATGTGTTAACCTATGACATTTTACCAATTCATTGGGTAGTGATGTAAGTTTGTTATTGGAGATGTCCAATTTTGCCAAATTCTCTAATTCTTTTATATTTTCGGGTAATGAACTTAACAAATTCGATCTCAATTCTAAAACTTGTAATTGATGTAATGAACAAATGGCATCCGGTAAACTTTCTACATTATTATTGTTCAATCTTAATACGCATAATGATTTTAACCTTCCAATCGAATCTGGTAGGCTCGTAAGTTGATTACTGTCTAAATATAAAAGTCTTAATTTAGCCAATTTTGAAATGTCTGATGTTATACTACCCAACAAATTGTTATTCGCTCTTAATTCCCTTAGGGTCTTCAATTTGGTTATACTCGTCACATCCGATAATACATTATTGTCCAAATTAAGTCTCCTTAAATTTTTCATCCTTCTAAATTTTAACCTTGGATGAAACTCTGATATACAATTGTTACTTAAATCCAATATCTCTAATTTGGTTAATTTCAAAAGTTCTTCGGGTAAATCTCGAAGTGAATTACGATCAAGGTATAATTCCTTTAAATTATGAAGTCCTTCAAAGAAATGATTGGGAATATATGATAACCGATTATTACTTAATCTGGCCGGACCTTTTCTTTCATGTGTCGTCGTTGGCGTACTATTCAGGAGGACATCCCAAGCCGATTCCATGGGCCAGTCCACTTTAGATACATCAGATTGTGATGGTTGTGAATCGGAAAATGTTGTGCTGAATGCCGAAGGATCTTCCGAATTAAAAGACTTGGAAAATGATGACATACGGGACATTGGTTTCTTGTGAGATGAGGCGTCATATTCCGATCCAGTGTAAAGACTGGACTCTGGTGCTTGTGATTGAGTAGCCGAAACATCTCCTTCTACCCCATCGTCTAATGTCATATCATCTAAATCTTTCTCATTATCACTGTCACTCTCCTCTGATTCTACTTGATCAGCATAAAAATTGTTATGGTTCTCTTGAAGGGTGGTACCATTTGTGATTGACTCATATTCCTTATTATCGTTTGTGCCAAGTACGGAAGAAATGATTGGATATACGTCCGAAGTTTCATTATGTTTTTTGTTATTTTCGGTTTCAGAATTGGATTGAGTGGGTCGAAGACTTTGATAAAATTTTTTCTTAAATAAACGTAAAGGTGATTTGTCAACCTTAATCTTATCATCTAATCCTGATGTCATTTCATCCTTTGATGTTATTATATTCTTATTTTCCATTTCGGATTGTTTTTGTGAATTTTTAGAATTATTATTATCGTTATCATATGGCTTATATGAATTCGAACTTAGAGGTGAAGAATTCTTAAGTGGGGAAAATTGTGAAATCATATTAGTTGAACTATTAGTATTAATACTATTAACAACACCATTAACATTGTTATTATGATTATTATTATTATTATTATTATTTACAAATTGGGATTCCTTCATATTATTAGAATTTATTCTGGTGTGACGTGGAGGAATACCATTCGCCATTTGATTGATATTTACAAGGCTCGTTCGAGTTGCGATCGAACTTCGTCGAGAATTATCCTTTTTCGCTGTAAATATATCAAAGATTCTGCTGTGACGAATGGTACCAGAAACCCCTTTAATCGTGTCATCATCCGCACGTTCCGAAGAATTGGATGATTTAGCAACTGAATGTCTTAAAGGAGAAACCACATCGATATCCATATTATTAATCAAGTCCATATTTTCATGATGATCATTATTATCATTACGTGAATCCACGGTTTCGGCCGCAGTTGACTGCGTTGATTGCGAAATCGTAGATTCATCTTGGCATAAGGTGTTAGAAGAAGCCGTAAGTTCTTGTCCTTGCACGACAAATTCTTTTTGTTTTAATTTATTATCAACCTTCTTAATTTGATCATTATTTGTATCAATGTCATTATTATTAATTTCTGTAGGATTCGTAAGATTTATTGGTTCGGTGGATTTATTCTTTGTTGTTTCGGGAGATTTACGCTGTTCAAATGTAAATGAAAATTTTCGTTTCGTAAGCCTTTCAATGAGTGAACCAAAATTAGATTTACGACGTGACGGTTTTGAAGATGGAACAGTCGAAAAATTATTGGTTGAGGTTGTTTCCTCAACAACCGTTGAACTGCTATTTTCCTTCCTTTCCGTTTTTCTTCTATAACTAAATCTACGAAATAAATTCGTAAAACTATTTGATTTTTTTACTTTTGGTGTCTCACCATCATTATTATTAGTTGGTACTTGATTAATATGTAATGATGATGATGATGATGATGATGATGATGATGATGGTGAGTTGATCGTTGGAATTGGAGCTTGATTTCTTGATGTTGTTGGATCTGTAATATCATTTGTGTGATCAGCTCCAGCGCCAGCGCTAGTTGACGTATTTTGGATAATTATCGGAGCGGATGATGATGAAGGGAAATTGGTCGTTGATACTGATTCCTCCGTGGATTGTATTGATGTATCATTATTTTGTTTTTTAGGTTTTGACCTTCCCCAACTTAACCACCAGGAGAATTTTGTGAACATCGAATTGGAGCGAAGGGGGTCCTTACGAGGTTCATGGTCAGAAGATTGGTTATTTAAAGTAACATTTTGATCAACGAATATAGAATCTACATTTGCATGCGTTGAAGAAACTTTGTTTTGTCGTTTTGCACCCGGAAAAGTGTTTGAGGACATATTTAAAGATTCAGAAATTGTTTCCTCAAGTCCTGAAATTTTAGATGTAGAAGGACCTATTGATTCAGAAGTTTGAAATTTTATCCTTGGAAGATCTTTTGGAGGGGTCATTGGACGAAAGTCGTCCTTTGGAGGTACAGGAGGCGGAACTTCACCGCTCAAGTTATATTCGATATCGGTCATATAATTAAATAAAAATAAAAGAGAGTGTTCGCTTTATCAAAAAGCTTTTTTTTTTTTTTTTTTTTTTTGATTTAAAACCTGAAATTTATCAAGTACTACTAGAATCGAAGTTTGTTGTTGTTTTTATAAATAAATAAAATTTTAAGTAGTTGTTAGAATTGTAGTTTGTAATTGTTATAAAAAGTGCATTTAAACCGTAAATATAAAATAATAATTTTATTATAAACAGCGAGCATGGCTTCTTTTTTTTTTTTTTATCTGTTGTGCTCTGATATACTAAATAATGAGGAAAAAAATAAAAGAGAAAAGGAATAAAAAAAGAAATAAGATAACGTCTTGGGTATCCAAGAGTTGTTACGGCAGTGAAGCCGTCAAATGTTACAAGTACAAGGAATAACAGAATTAAGTAGACAAGAGCTATGTACAGAAAAGAAGGAATTTTTTTTTTTTTTTTTTTTTTATAAAAATTTTAAATTTTAATAAAGAAGTTCCTTTGCATTTATTCACAAAATGGTATCGGAGTAAATTTATTGGACTGGCGCAAAATCTTTACCATATAAAGAAAATACTCAAAATTTCAATTAAACACATGATTGGACCTTTTAATTTTATTATACGTGACCGTATTTGGTTAAATGGTTTACACGTTAAAAAATTTACCGATCACGTATCGATCAGCTCGACGCAAGGTCGAAGATGACCCGTTGTTCCAGGGGGTGGCGGTGGCAGTATTCTTTTTTGGCACAATTTAGGAATTTCGAGGTTACCCTCAATTCCATCGTAATTGATTTCAATCCTATTGCCTTTCGTCCCTGCTACGGCGTATAATGGAGGTTCGCAACCGTGTCTTCTATAATATCCCAACCTCTCTTCTAATGTATATTTCCATTTGGTCAATTTCGGCCTAAACTTGGTTTGTGCAGTTTCGTCTAGGATCTTTTCATAAGTTTTTGACCACCAGGTTTCTGGCGGCTTATATGTCGGATAATTAACTAAAGCGGGGACCCAAGTGACCGTCGCCCTTTTTTCCTCCTCTCGTGCTTCTTTAACTGTTCGTCTCCTTTGATGGATTTGATTTTGAGCAAGTTGTACAAAAGCCATTTCCTCTTCTGCGACTTCCTCTAATATCTCTAAATCTGTATCCTGATCCTCGTGTTCAAAGGTTCCTTGCCGTTTGAGTTCGGCCAATATCTTTGCTTTATTGGGAGGTCTCTCCTCACTTTCGATATCCGATGACGCCGTCGAACTATTGTCATCATCATCTTCCATGTTTGAAGATGTTTTCCTCTTCTTTATTCCTAAAACATCCCAACCCTTCTTATCTTCGACCTCTTTCGTAAACTTCCTTTTCGACTTGTTTACCACCATCCTGCATTTTTTTTTATATTCCCTATAAGTGCTTTCTACCATTTCCTCATGTTTTTTCATTTGTCGTTGCCAATTTGAAAATTTCCATTCATTCATCATTTTGTTTCGAAATTTTTCTTTAGCGGCCTTTGCCTCGATCATGTGCCTTTTAGAGTATTCAGGAAATGTGGTGGTATATCTTGGAACAAACGTTTCTGGTGGATGTATAATGGTCATTGATCGTTTCGTCAGAATTGAATCAATGTTTGAACTCGGATCGGGTGGATTAACAGGTCGACATATATTAAAATAACGTGTAGGTTTTTTTTGCGAGAGCAGTAAACCTTGAGCTTCTTGACATGGTAATAATATTTCCAACCCTCTCATTTGTCTAAAGATCGTTTCATGTGGGGCTCTCAATTCTCGGATGATTCCTTTACCCGTTTCATTCTCTTGAGAAACATCATCATCGTTAGGCATCTCGTAAACATGATACTCTGCTGATTCAGAATTCTTCTTTTTATATAAATGTTCTTGTAATTCTTTTTGTATCGTCGCTACTTTTGTAGGGATTCGGGATATTCCCTTAGGAAGTTTCAAAGTTAACCCCTGAAGGTCCGACTTTGAAATAGTTGGAGGAATTTTAAATAACCATAATTCATTTTCCTCCTTGTGAACATTTTTAAAATCAAATGTTGAAGGATCACTTGCTTCTATTTTTTTCCACCCTGGGGGAGGTTCATATTGAGGAAAAGGTCCATTACTAATTTCTTGTTGATTAGTAGAAACTAAACCGGATATATTTAAAGAATATTGTTGACTTTCTACTTCTTGCTCGACTTGAATCTGTGATTCGGAATTCTCATTATTATTATTATTATCAATACTTTGTTCGTCATCACGGATTAAACTAGCCGTATCCGAAGATTGTTGTTTATGTTTATGAGAATTTTTAGAAGAATTCTTTTTACTTTTATATTGGTTGACTTTAACGGTAGAACTCCGTTTAGCAATTTTATCATGTTTCAAGCCATCAAGAACCGGAACTGATTTCGAATCCGATTGTAAACTCTTGAAATTTAAATCTTTGCGTGACTTTTTATTCGTCTTGGACTTTTTATTTTTATCACCATTTTTAACGATATCGAGTCGAGTCATGTTCGAAAAAATGAGATGGCATACATGTTATAATCATCAAAAAAAATTTTTTATTGATGCATAATTTTAAAATTAACATTTGATTTGATGAACACCCAATAGTTTATCATATTATATTACTATTTTTGTTTAATATTTACCAAACATGTAGTGGGCAAATTAATCATGAAAACACGTTAATTGTAATTCTTATAAAGTTATTAGAATATTCTTTAATTATTATGATAATATAAAATAATTCTAAAAATAAATAAACTTCTTAATTATTCTAATTATTTTAGAATTATAAATGACACATTTCTTTTGAGCTATTGTTATTATACAATGACATTTTAATCAAATTGACGTTATCTACATAATCTTGATATATTTTCATAGAAATTTTACTAATACCGACAATAAATATGATTGCAGATTTACAAAATATAATTATGAGATTTATTAAAATGTAAAGATACTACTTTTTTGAGGAGACCATCGATTTATCTTTTAAAAGATTAGAGAATATATTCCGCTCAAACTCTTATTGATGTCATACCTACTAAACTATATATAATACTTTTGAGTAAAAATATATATATCTAATATTTATAATAGATAAATTTTTTAGGTGATATCAAATCACGGTAACCTCAAGTGATATTTGACGTTTAGCGTTAAAATTTACAAATATTATAATATAATATATATATATATAAAAAGGGAAGAAAAGTTAAATAGAAAAAAATAAAACTAAATTATGTGCAATATTTCCTTAGCTATAATGTAAATAAAAGTTTCTTTATAAAATGTTTTTCACGTACCCCCTCCAAACCCGAATCATTTAGAAGCGTCCGCGGGAAGCTTTACCAGTGTTACGACGTGCACGACGTTCTTCTGTGTTAACGGTTTCGCCTCCAATTTCAACTGTATGCGCGTCAAGAGCGCGTCGATATGATTCGAAATTGGAGAAATCAACGAAAGCACAGGACTATAAACAACATTTATTAATTAATAAATTAGTTACTTATTTAAGCAAAAAAAATATAATAGGTTATTGAAAGGTCTCCTCACCTTTGAGTGTACAACGTCAAGATGTTTAACATGGCCAAAGCTCGTGAACGCCGACTTGAGCAGATCATAAGTCATTGAGGATGTGACCCCTTTTACATATATTGAGAGGCTTGTATCTATTTGTTAAAAAGAATATTAAATACAAACTCGGATAGTATAGAAGTTATATTAAACGATACTTACCGCTGTTACGTCGATTATTGTTTTTTAACCCCTCGGAACGTCGATCACGATTGTCTCGCATATGTTGAGACTGAGCTTGTGTACCAGACTTTACGGGAACTGATGCGACCACGCCTTTTGCTTCAGATAATGCAGTATTATTCCACTTTTCTAATCCATTGGCCGCCAAGCTTGCCCAAGTTTTCTTAACCGGTGCTTGCATCTGTGGTGTATGGTTAGACGATTTTACCCCTTGCTGTTCAGAGTCACTCGAACCGGTAGTGACGACATTCTTCGGAACGTTTTGAGCAGAGCTTTTCTTGACAGCATGTGCACTAATATTCTTGTTTATCGGCTGTTTTGCATTAGCTGGCTGACCCTTATTATTTACAGCAGATGATGATACAGGACAAGCGGTTAAGCCAGAAGGTGATTCTGGTCGAGATATCCGTTTGGTTTCTTGATCATTTTGCTGAGGTCCCGTAGTCGGAACTTTCTGCAATGTGGACGGTGATTTTGGTGATTTTGGCCCGTTTGAAGAAACTTGAACCTTATTATCTGTCGCTGATTGAGGAGAATGACTATCTGTCTGTGACTGTGCATCAATGCTAAATACTGGAGACTGAGCAGATGCCTGCTTTGGAATGTTTGCAGGCAGTTCAGTTCTATTCTGCGTGACATGTGTTCCGCTAGAAGTAGTAGATACAATTTGAGTTGATGGAGCTTGACCAACACCTTGTAACGCGTTGGTTGTTGGCGATTGTTCAGACGGTTTCTTTGAAATCGCAGGCTGTGGTCCATTCTTATCCTGCTCAACTGGTAACACGTTAGAAGTAGTTGCTGCGTCAACCGCTGTCGAGTTTGGAGTTTGAACATTATTTCCTTGTAACGATGCCTTTTTTAATAGATGTGATTCGATGTTTGCTGGGGCAGTAACTGGTTCTTGTTTATTCAAGTTCGCAGGTGATTGTGTGTTAGATGAGACAACAGATGCTGATTGAGGCCTGCTTGGATAAGTTTGAATTGATTGCATAAGAGGAGTTGCATGAACTTCTTGAGACACGATACCCGCCAAAGTTGTGACGGGATCTTTCTCGGTTACAATAGCTGGTTTTTGTCCATTATTGTTTTGCACAACGAGCGGTGATGGAGGACTACTCTGAACAGGTTGTGCGATTGTCCCGGATTTTGGAGGTTGTCCGCTTGTATCAGGTGTGATAGATGAGGTAAGTTGTGGTTGAGTGTGCATTCTGCCATCATCAACAACAGGTACGGTAACTTCCATATCAATAGAAGCTGCACGTAAAGGAACAATAACTGGATTTGTTGAAAATGTAACCGGTATATCTAAACCCGTGTCTCTTGGAGTGACCAGAGAAGGTTCCGTAATAGTCGTATTTTGGGTTGAATCAGATGGACTTGCTTGTTCAACCCGGGGCGAAGAAACATCTATCGGTTCATCGACCAATGTTCCAGCGGGCGAAATGGATGTTCCAGCTACCTCTTCCCCATTGTATATTTCAATATCTTCATCCGATTGGAATCGGATGATATCATTCAACACATAATAACCATTTGGCTGCACATCAAGAAAAAAAGTTTGAGCAAATCTTCGTGCAACTTCATTACGGTTACTCATTTCACCTAATACTTGAATTACTATTCCACCGTTGTTAGACGCAAGACTATCAACATTGGTGACGAGAACACGACAATCTTCTAAGTTTAAACCTTGGAATTTTTCTTTGATTTCCTATTTAGATTCATCAAAAAAAAAAAAAAAAAAGGTTAGAAAATAAAGCTATGAATATTGCGACTTTTTTTTTAAAAAAAAAATAATAAATAAAGGGAAGGTAGAAATCGATAATTTAATAAAACGGAATAAAAAAAAAAATTAGTTAAGCTGTAGAAGTATTTAAAGGTGAGGCGGTTTGGATCTATCAATGCAAAACTTTCTGCAAGTATAAATATCTTGAAAACACGATCAAGAAGTTTACAAAGAAATTCTATTCTGATCTCACCTTCTCTCCTTGAGAAAGAGTCACAGTCTCACCTTCTGTTCCATGGATGAGGGATGATTTTTGTCCGTAGAAGCAGTATAGGCGACTTGGGTCTTTGTTTAAGAACGTATAGTATTCATGAACGAAAAGCCAACCCACTTCTGAAGCGTTTATTTTGTGACCGGCAGGAGGCCCATTAATACCAGTTTGTGCGGTCAGTGTGTTAGAAGTTGTAGCATTAATTGTGGTAGAAATTGTTGTAGCGGCCATATTTCTTTAAGCTCGAATTTTTTTAAGAAAGCTTGACCGTTTAATTTTTTTTAAATTAATGATACTTACGATTGGTTAGTTTTTAGATGTTGTTAGTCCGGCTAAATATTCACTTGACCTGTTTGGGCAAAATTATAAAATTATGTAGCAATTAAGGGTGATATTGCGGTTTTAATCACATCTCTGATAGTTTATGTATACAGAAAACATCAATTTGTAATATCCGAATTGCAAAGCTTGTAAATAGGTTAAAATCCTTTCAATTGCACAGTATTCATTTCATATTTAAATTACAAAAGATCGAACCGAAAAAAGTTCATTTATTTATTTTATTTTCTCTACATTTTTTTTTTTTTTTATTACTACAAAAAAACGGGATAAGATTAATAAATATTAAATGTGGATGTTGACCTTAATAATACAACCATTGAATCGGCACATTCCAATAACCCTCGTTTTTTTGTATGGATTGGTACATAATTTCTTGTAAATAGCCATATTTCTTTCGATTTCGATTGTTAATTAATTGCCTTTACCGTTTCCAAGCATTCTTTTGCTTTTAATTTAATTTCAGGGTCTTGAGAAATAAAAAATTTCTTTATTATTTAATAAGTTTAAGTAAAATGAATTATTATTCTTCACATTTTCACTAACCCATTCTTTCATCTCGACACTTTCGTTTGAGCAACTCAAATAAATCCAAAAGAGTTTGCTATTATCAAATCAAATCAAATCAAACTTTAGACCGATTTTATTGTGAGAAATGTCAAACAATATATAATTTATACCTTTGTGCCAGTTCCATAACTAGTTAACATCTTTAATGCTTGGTTCAATAACATTAAAGTTCTTATTATCCATTCTTGATTTCTTTTTGAAATATAAGTGAACCTATTTAAAATATATTCGCTCATTGGTTTCTTATTGATCAAAGCAATGACCGAACAAATCGAAATCACTATATTTTCATTGGCTTTGTCCTGAACCCCTTTGCAACGCATATTGTTTATTAAAACTCTAGTATGTTTATTGAATTTTGAAATAAATTCATTTACATGATCTATCGGTGTATCATCTATTATACGTCCAAGCAACTGTAATGTCAAATCAAGATATCTTTGAGTCAAGATGGTAATATCCGGTACATTACACGCATTAATTGGCACAATCACAATTAATTTCACTAAAATTTTATAACAATTATTTATTCCATTATTATTAGGTCGCCATCCTGCCCAATACATCATCAAATCCCTTATTAAAGATCTTGCTTGTTCTGGCCAGGGATTTCCTACATAAATATTTTTGTGAAGTTCCTCAAAGAGTTCTAAATATTTTTCAATTGGAAAGTTTTTATCATTTGGTGAAGATACTGGTGTTGTATCTGCCCATTGCAGCAAATCTTTTAGCTTTTTCGATACCAAGTTTTGTTCAAGTGGTCGAGATGATCGAGATGATATTGAAGCACGCTGGGAAATAATATCACTCGTTGTCCTGTGATTAGTGTTTGTCTCA